ATGGTCAACGGTTAATAAAGGACTCCTGATTTTAGGGGCCTCACAAACCTTGCAAAATTAAATGGCAAACCACTGGCGTAGAACATCTGAGCAACTTCTTTGTCAACAATATATCTGTCCGCAACATTGAATGCCAAAGGTAAAGGACCTTGAGGGGCCATTCCCTTGCATTTTTTTTGTTGGAGAAGGTCAGTAGCATCTGGTATGGTGACATAATCTGCCCCTTTTCCTTGCATTCAAAGCTTGTTGATACTTTATAGTTTCGGCTTCTTCATGCTCCTTCTTTATGGCTTTCAATACATTATCACTTATGGTAGGACAACTTTCAATATTGTGGTGAGGAAGTTTCATCAGTTGGCCTTTGACCATTGTGTATGACCCAACAACTCTCTTGTTGCAGTAATTGCACACCTAGGTCCGATTTCCACCTCCACCCTCAGCCACATTGAGAACCTTTACATGATTCCACAGAGGCTTATCGTCAAATGTAGCTCCTAAAGGCGTCATTAGACATTTGACCTTTTCTGTTCCTCTAGTAGAAGATTGGGATGATTGGGATGAAGACATTTGTGGAGAGTTTAAAAAGAAGTGTGACTGTAAGGAAGAAGATCGAGATGATTGGGATGATTGGTCTCATCAATGCGAATATATAGGCCTCTGGCAAAGGCTTGGTCAACTAGGATTCTTTAGTATTCCAATTTTTCGTTTCTCTTTTTTTTTTTTTTTGATTTGATGAATTAAATGTTTGTGGGATGAAGTTCCATGTTACTTTAGTGTTAATTTAATAAATTAATTTTTTATTGGATGATTTTGGATGTTAATTTGATGAATCAAATGTTAGTTTGATGAATTTGAATATTAATTGGATGGAATTAAATGTTAATTTGGTGTTAATTTGATAAATTGAATGGTTAATTTGATGAATTGAATATTAATTAGACAAAATTTTATGTTAATTTGATGAATTTAAGGTTAAATAGTTGAATTTCAATGTTAATTTGATGAATTGAATGTTTATTGAAAAAATAGAATGTTAATTTGTTGAATTGAATGTTAGTTTAAAGTTGATTTGAGTAGTTAAATGTTTATTATATGAAATTGGATGTTACTTTGATGTTGATTTAATAAATTAAATCATTATTGGATGCAATTGCATGTTAATTGGATGAATTTGTATATAAATGGTATGAATTGAATGTTAATTTCGTATTAATTTGATGAATTGAATATTAATTTGATAAAATTGAATGTTAATTTGATAAATTTAATGTTAAATAGTTGAATTTGAATGTTAATCTAATGAATTGAATGTTTATTAGATGAAATTGAATTTTAATTGGTTAAAATGAATGTTAATTTGATGAATTAAATGTTTATTGTATGAAATTGCATTTTACTTTAGTATTGATTGAATAAATTGAATCTTTATTGGATGATTTTGAATGTTAATATGATGATTGAGTGTTAATTTGATGAATTTGAATTTAAATAGGATAAATTGAATGTTAATTTGATGAATTGAATATTAATTGGATGAATTAAATGTTAATTTGATGAATTGAATTTAAATTTGATTAATTTAATGTTAAATAATTTGATGAATTGAATGATTATTAGATGAAATTGAATATTAATTTAGAGTTGATGTGATGAATTAAATATTAATTTTAATGTTAATTTGATGAATTGAATGTTTATTAGATGAAATTGAATTTTAATTGGTTAAATGAATGTTAATTTGATGAATTAAATGTTTATTGTATGATATTACGTTTTAGTTTAGTATTGATTGGATAAATTGAATCTTTTTTGAATGTTAATTGATGATTAAGTGTTAATTTGATGAATTTGAATATAAGTAGAATGAATTGAATGTTAATTTGATGAATTGAATTTTAATTTGATTAATTTAACGTTAAATAATTTGATGAATTGAATGATTATTAGATGAAATTGAATATTAATTTGGTGTTGATGTGATGAATTAAATATTAATTTGAATGTTAATTTGATGAATTGAATGTTTATTAGATGAAATTGAATTTTAATTGGTTAAAATGAATGTTAATTTGATGTTGATTTGATGAATTAAATGTTTATTGTAAGAAATTACAATTTACTTTAGTTTTGATTGGATAAATTGAATCTTTATTGGATGATTTTGAATGTTAATTTGATGATTGAGTGTTAATTTGATGAATTTGAATATAAATATGATGAATTGAATGTTAATTTGATGTTAATTTAATGAATTGAATATTTATTGGATGAATTAAATGTTAATTTGATGAATTGAATTTTAATTTGATTAATTTAATGTTAAATAATTTGATGAATTGAATGATTATTAGATGAAATGGAATATTAATTTGGTGTTGATGTGATGAATTAAATATTAATTTGAATGTTAATTTGATGAATTGAATGTTTATTAGATGAAATTGAATTTTAATTGGTTAAAATGAATGTTAATTTGATGTTGATTTGATGAATTAAATGTTTATTGTATGAAATAACATTTTACTTTAGTATTAATTTGATAAATTAAATCTTTATTGGATGATTTTGGATGTTAATTTATTGAATTGAGTGTTAATTGGATGAATTAAATATTAATTTGGTGTTAATTTGATGAATTGAGTGTTAATTGAATGAAATTGAAGGTTAATTAGATGAAAATTGAGTGTTAATTTGATGAATTTGATCTTAACTAGTTGAATTTGAAAGTCACTTTGCCCAAACGGACTTTTATCAAAGCAACAAAATGAAAAGCTCAAATGCCCAATCACCAATGAAATGGAACCCATTTTGCTTATTCAACTTTTTTTCTTTCTGTAGATCAATGGCGGTGTCTACCAGTTATATTTAGTGGGGTCCACTAGCTATAATGCATGTATATACATGTGTAGATCAGTAGATGTATGGGCATGATTTAGGTGACTCTTCGTTGCAGTAAAAATCTCTCAATTTACAAGACAATATCATGCTATCACACTTTCAATTGACATTAACCAGCTACTTTCCCCAACAGCTATTAACTACCTTTAGTTTAGTTACTTTTCCCAAGCCTAACAACTTCCAAAAAGTAATTAATGTAATTTTCCTATACTCCGTAGGATCTGTTAGTTTTTTTTTAAAATTCTATTATTCTAACTTCATTAAAGTTAGCAGCTGGATTAGATGGTAATTAAAGTATTTTTTAGTGAAGTGCAGTTTTTTGGGAGGTAATTGAGTGCAATTGTATACTTAAAAATCGTGCTTGATTTGCTTAACATGACCGTAATTGAAATTTGTACCAAGTCTAAAAACACACATGAAAAGAGGAGTTTTGGTCAAAATATTATGAACTAAATATAGATAAAAGCTGAAAAATATAAGAGGAAGTCCAAAGAGGAAGGACTAAAAAGTAAAAACACAAAAACAGATAAACATGAGCTTTCAGCCTTCCATCAAAAGTGTTATGGATTGTACTATTACAGAGAGAAAGATTATTATATGATCCGTTATCCTTAGACACCTATCATCCGTAAAAACATCCCAATCAAAAAGGAGACTGAACGAGAAAAACCACCAAAGGCTGGAGTCGAGGAGGCTACTGCCTTCTTCACATGTGATTTTGCGAAATCTGCATCTAAATGGCTAACCCATGACTTCGAAGCAGCGTAAAGAAAGAAGAACATCATAGCAAGAGCATTGTGACTAGATTTCATCTTTTGGGTTTGACTTGGTTACATCTGCTCAGTGCTCGCCGGAGAACTTCGCCAGAACATTGTTGGGAAATAGGCCAATAACTTAGGTATTTTTCAATTCTTGAGTTGATTTCTCCCATTTGTTTACATCATTGGTAGATTTCTACACAGCTTTACTTTCAATCTTCATTGTTCTTCTGTTCTTCACTTCTTCATCTTGAAACTCAGTCGTGTCCAGAATAAAGTTACCGTACTGGACACAAATCCCGCACCCACACCCGTGTCGGATCTTGTTGACACAGGTATTCCCACAAAAGAGGCGAGTCCAAGTAACATAGCTAAATCCATCTTGGTAGTTGAGCATCCTCTAACATGTGTGTACTTTGCACAATTTAGCCATGCAAGCCAAATAACACAGTTACTAACTCCACACAAAGAACTCAGCAACACACCATTACACACATGATTTTAAACATAGAATACTCGATCTTTGGAGAATTTGAAAGTTTATATAGCAAATGGGTCACCTGTGCAAATGATTGATAGAGCAAGAACTTCGATGGGACATCACCAGAATATGCTATGTTGGTGGATGATCACGGGCATTACACAGTACTTGTAGCTGTTGATTTTGCAAAGGACACACATGTCAAAGCATCCTCTGACATGTGTGTCCTTTGCACAATTCAGCCATGCAAGCCAAATAACACTTAAAGTTACTATCTTTTAATTTCAATTTTACCTCAAAATTGAAATTAAATCCAAGTAAATCAACACATAATTAAATCAACTTAACACCAGAAACTATAATGGTAGATCAATTATGCAATACATTTTGGGGGTATGTGTTGTGCACTGCCTAATTGGTAGGAACCAATGTTGGCTACTTGATCAAATTAAAAGCCTATTAACCACTACAAACATACAGTCAGTGAGCAGATTATTTGAAACAACCCAAGTTAATATCATAACAATTAGCTTTAGCATAAAACTAACATCAATCTACTGATTAAACATTAATGCAAGCATCATAGTTTTAAGTGGATAACGATGATATGGCGTTGGGTGGTGCTGGTAGCGTGGGCAGGGGTTTTGGGTTGGGGATGTTGTTGGCGTGGGCTATAAAACACCCAGAAAAGTAAGATCATCAAAATAAAATGTTCATAGTTCTTTGGGTAATTTTTTCGAACATGTGGGATATAAAACTTTGGCTACTACTGGTTCAAATTAAAAGCCTATTAGCCACTTAAGAAACAAATAAAAAAGGTTGATTCAGAGGTGTGGGGAGTTTGCTCAATCAGAGAGGTGGGGATGGGGTGGGATGAGGTGGAGTGGGGTGGTACTGGTGTGTGCAATTGTGTGTGTTGCGTGCATGGGGTGTGTGTGTATGCATGTATGTATGTGTGTGATTTGAGGGCAAACGACATACATTTGACGCAGAGCGAAGGCATTGAGGCCGAATGTTGCTTTGGTGTTAAGGGCAAGAGAGATAGAGGAACGGTGGTGAAAAAGAGAAGGCATGAAGAAGGAGGAGAATTGAGGAAGACATTCAGGCATGTAATGGGTGGGACATTAGGTCAATATTTTGGGGATAATTTTTGGTATGGAAAGGAGATGATCTCTATCTCGATGGAGAGAGAGAGAAGAGTGATGGGTGAGATTGTGTGAGATTTGGGGAGAGAGAGATGACAGAGAGATTAGGCAAAGATTGGGGAAGGAGGGACTCTGTGTCCGTGAAATGGGGCGAGAGAGAGACACAGAGTAAGGGGATTACTTACCAATTGAATTTGCATGACATAAGACAAGGAATTAATCTAGGGATGTTAATTTTAGAAATTAAAAATTTTGAGTGGCAAAATATTTCAAAGAGTTAATGTGATACGTTGACATCAATAGCTCGAGACAATTTGAAATAACGTCGTCTGTTGAATGATGTCTTTTTTGGTCAAGAAACGATTGTAACCGCTCTTTGTCTCTTGGATTCAAAATCGTTCTATTTTATTATATTGATATATACTCTACAAATATGGCCGTTGATATTATGTAATTACTTCAGTATTTAATCACAAATTGGCCGTTTAGAATTAAATAAAAAATGATTGTTGAAAAGTAGATGTTAAACCTTTGGTATTTGGAAATTGATTAGAATTAAATAAAAAATGATTGTTGAAAAGTAGATGTTAAACCTTTGGCATTTGGAAATTGAATTTTTAATGAGGAAGTTATTACAGAAAATAATAAAATAAAATGATAAAAAGTTGGTTTATTATTACTTATTTTATTTTGGCAAAGTTTAGAAACTCGTATCTCCTCTGTCAGTCCCACTCGTGCACATGTGAGACACAAGGTCTAACTTTACTCAATAACATCGTAGCACTAGTATAATATATAAACCTAAGTTCTTTTAGAAAACTATTCGATATGGAATTGAGTTTCCCTCATAAAACGATCCTTTTATTAAAATACTCTAACTGTTTCCATATTAGGGTGGACCCTTTGGAGGAAGTCAAACACCACTGTTAACAATTTTGAAATTTTCTAACACCGAAAGGTATATGCATCATGGATTGTCAATGGATCAAGATTTTTAACATGGAAACATCACCAAAAAAAAGGGTTATACTATGTCATTACATTACTGTTACTGTGGTTGAGAAACGAAATAGAAAAGAGAGAGAGAGAGAGAGATTTAAGGCAAAGAGAGAGGGAAATTTAAGGCAAAGAGAGAAAAGAGATTGGGAGGGAAAAGAGAGGAGAGAGATGAATGAAAGAGAGCAAAGAGAAAATAGACATAGCAATTAACAAAAGAGAGAGATTGAGGAGCCTCATAAATGTGCTAATTAAGATAGAGGATGTTCCTTAGCATTAAACATTTTAAAAATTAAAACTTGTGACCACACACCTCATATGCTGTGAATACAAGTACTTAAAATACTTAAAAAGTGCATGCTTGTGCTTATTGACAAAAAAAAATGACTAGACTATACTTGTTTCTAACTGATAGTTGTGGGCACCTAAAAATGAACTTTCTTTATGGGAATATTTAAGGTAACTGACAGGTTAAGTAATAAAAATTCAGAATCTAATTATTATTATACATAGCAATATATCTAGTCTATTCATAAAAAAAAAGGGTCTGGAAGGAAGTTAAATGGCTCAATTTTATCGCATAATCATTCACTAACAACTAAATTTCATTCGGTCTCTACAAATTATGAAAAGCAGAACAAAAGAACAAAGGGAGTGCAGATCTTTCAAATACATATTTTATATGGATTTAGACCCTCTATATGCAGGGTTTGGGTAAATTATATTTTGTTCCCTCAAATTATTACATTAATTTCAATTTTATATGAATTTTTTGGCTTCCTTTTGGACTTCAATGTCCAAGGAGTTTCAAAATATTTCGCTTTTTTTTTTTTTTTTTGTATTAGAACAAGTTGGAAAGCTTCATGCACATTATAATTTGTCTGTCTTACCAATTGTTGTGATCGTGCATCAATTATGGTGAATAGTAAGGAATCAAACAATTAAGAAAACAGGAGAAAATAACACACAGAGATTTACGTGGTTCGGCAATGTGCCTACATCCACGAGAGCGAGCGCCGTTCTTTTCCATTATTGAAGTAGGGTTACATCTTAAGTATTTATATAACCCTAATATGAACATATTTATAAAAATACCCCTGTACCGTACCGCGGGGGCGTTACCCCCACACCCCAACTAATCAGCGTCCCCTTTATATAAATCCTGCAAGGCAGATGCCGTCACGAGCTCTGCCCGCTCCGGCATCTGCCTCCTTATCATTATGCATACAACAAATATGAACCACACATACTCTAACAATTCCATAGGCTTGGTTTAGTTTGGACTGCTTGTCCACACTTAATGAGGAAATGGAGAGAGAGTTCATTTTCCTTTGGCTATTCCAGTTTTTGGGAATTGAATTGGCTGATCTAAGCACACATTATTGAATCTGTGCGTCCATCGGTCTTGAGACACATCATTTGTAACAAAATCTAGTATATAATTTTGGTGCAAAAAATATTATTCCTCAGTGTTGAGGAAGAAATGAAACCCTTTGCCATGACCCTTCATTTTTGTATTCATAAGACGTTGCAGGTAAGCGTAACTACAAAACATAATAGGCTACTGAGTTTTCATTCCAAGTCATGGTCGAATGACATCAAAGAAAGTACCAATCAGAACTCTCGGACTCTAATGGTAGAGGTTGATCGACGAGAACGACAACACGACAACGTAATGTATTAATTTTGAATTTTTATTATATAACAAATATTAAAATTATGTAAGTTTATTGTTTAGTAATGGGTCCGGGTGTCAACATTAGTGCAACTTACTGTGTTTTCCCTACTTAGGAGCTACTGAATAAGTCTTAAGCTTACTGAGTCTAGGTTTGTTATTTGTTTGAACTAGTCTTCTGGAGAGTATCTCTCTTCCAGTTCTTTAGGCATGTTGGTGTTTCTTTTGCATAATATTCTCAACACACTCTGTTTTGTTGAGAAATTTTAGGAACTATTTTCTGTAAATTAAGTTGTGTACTAGCTGGTTTTACATACCAGTTTTCTTCTTAAGTAATAAAATTCTGCAACTTCTCTTCTTTCTATTTTTTTGCTTTGTTTTGTTACATGGTATCAGAGCCAAGTTCAAAGGGTTGATTCTTATACTCGTGAAGATGAATGGTGCTAATAATGTTGCTATGGAAAAGCTTGTTGGTACCAACTACAACTATTGGAAGCTTTCCTACAAAGACAAGACTTGTGGGATCTTGTCTCTGATGATGAAACTGTAATTCCAAAAGACACACCACAAAATGTCGAGTCACATCGGAAGTGGAAGGTGAAGTGTGGTAAGGCTTTATTTGCTCTACACACCTTTATCAGTAAGGAGTTTATTGAACATGTTCGTGATGAGCAATCACCAAAGAAGGTGTGGGAGACACTCGAGAGGTTGTTTACTCAAAAGAACACGATGCAGCTACAGTTCTTAAAGAATGAACTTGCCGGGATAATCCAAGGTAACCTTGCAATTCCAGAATATTTCTTGAAAGTTAAAACTTTGTGTTCTGAAATTTCAAAGCTGGATCCTACTGAACCTGTGAGTGAGGCATGGTTACGTCGTTATATCATTCGGGGACTACAGAAAGAATTCATGCCGTTCATCTCCTCCATAAAAGGGTGGGCTAAACAACTTTCTATCATTGAATTAGAGAACTTGTTCTCAAATCAGGAAGCCTTGGTGAACTAGATGATCAATAACAAGCCTTCTGTGCAAGTGGAGGAAGCATTATACTCAAGGGATCAAGGTAAAAGAAATTTTATTGCTAAGCATATTGTAGGTGGTAATGTGCCTTCATATGATGAAGGTCAATCAAAGGAAACTTCAAAAACATGCTACAAGTGTGGAAAGCATGGACATTTTAAACGTGATTGTCGAGTGAAGGTAATTTGCAATCACTGTAGGAAGCCTGGTCACATTCAATCTAATTGTCGGATCAATCATAGTGAAGAAGGTACAAATGCAGTTTATGAAAGCAATGAGTCAGAACAATTAGATTGGGAGTAGTGCTTAGCCATTGAAACTATTGATCAAGTTGCAAATGTGCACCAGACAAATGCACCACTAGATGTTGTTGCTCTCATCAACTATAATAAAGAGTGGATTATGGATTATGGCTGTTCTCACCATGCAACTAGAAATGTGTCTTTACTCTCCAATGTTCGTCCACATGATGGAAAGAAGGCAATTGTTATGGCTGATAATTCTCTCCACCCTGTAGTCGAAGAAGGACATTCAAATATCAAGAAGAGCAATGCACATGAGGGAGGCCTTTCACTTACAGATGTCTATCATGTTTTAGGTTTGAAAAAGAACCTTGCTTCAGTATCTCAAATAGCTGATTCTGGAAAATTCGTCTTGTTTGGTCCAGATAGTGTTTCAATTCTTTCAAATGTGAGAAATATTGATGCTGATGTTATGTTTACTGGAAAAAGGAAAGAGCCACTATATGTTTTATCTGCAAGTAATGCTTATGTCGAAAAAAGAGGTCAAATTGGTAGTGTAACACTAAGGCATGCTCGCTTGGGGCATGTTGGCTATCAACTGTTGCACAAGATCTCTACAAAGAGATTGTTGGATGGATATCCTCTCTTTAAAGAGATGCACTTTGATGTGGTTTGTCTAGGATGTCAGTATGGGAAATCTCACCATCTTCCATTTCCAAGTTCTATGACTAGAACAAAGGTTGCACTTGAGCTGGTTCATTCAGATTTAATGGGACCAACAAGAACTCCTAGTGACATAGGTTGTCGATATGTGATGGTATTTGTAGATGATTTCACTTGTTTTACGTGGGTATATTTTTTGGCAGATAAAAGCGAAGTTTTTGCAAAGTTTATTCAATTCAAGGAGGAGGTTGAGAAAGATTTTGAATCATCCATAAAATGTCTCCGTATTGACAATGGTGGAGAATACATGTCCAACCAATTTTCATAATATTGCAGAGAACATGGAATTCAACGTCCATTTACTTGCCCTGAAACCCCGCAGCAAATTGGGGTAGCAGAGCGTAGGTTGGAACACCTAACAACTATGTGCTTGTCATGGATGCATGAAAAAAAATCTTCCAAGAGAGTTGTGGGCAGCA